TCAGGAGGCGAGGTAGGAGTGGGAGAAGGAGGGAGAGAGGACGGAGGAGGGGGAGGAGGTGCGGAGGAATAGGGAGGATGCAGGGCATGGAGACCGGAGGAAGGGAGCGAGAGAGCGAAGGAAGTGGGAGGACCGGAGAGGCGAGGACGGGAAGAGGGCAGGGGGAGAAGGGAGGAAAGAAAGGAGAGAGGAGGGACGGAGGGAAGAGGGCAGAGAGGAGGGGAGGAGGCAGAGAAAATGAGGAGGGAGGGAGAGAGGAGCGAGGAGGGGAAGGAGGGTAAGAAGGCAGGAGGGAGAAGGAAGGAGGAGAGAAGGTAGCAGGGAGGAAGATGCGCCGGAGGAGGAGGCAGGGAGGAGAGCGAGGAAGAGGGAGGGAGGAAGAGGGCAGGAAGCAAGAGGGGAGGAAGGAGGCGAGGGAGGAGGGAAGAGGCGAAGAGAGGGAGGAGGGGAAGATGGAGGAAGGAGGACGGGAGGAGCGAGGAAAGGGACGGGATAGAGGGAAAGAGGGAGGAGGGAGAGGGGCCGAAGATGGAGGAAGGCAGGATCGGAGGAGGGATCGAGAGAGGAGGGGGAGAAGAGGGTGAGGGAGGGAAGCACGAGCGATAGGAGGAGGGAGAGCGAGGACAGGGAAGGAGCGAGGAGCGGAGCGAGGGAGGAGGGAGGGAAGGAAGGAAGGAGGAAGGAGGAGGAGGGAGATGGAGGAGGGATGAGGGAGGGAGGGTGGAGAGAGAACGGAGGTGGGCGGCATTCAGCATCTTTCGTTACAAGACAGTAAGGCGAGGAGAGAATGAGGGAGAGGAGAGGCGAGGAGAGGGAGGGAGGGAGGCAGGAAGAGAGGGTGGGAGAGAGAACGCGAGGTGGTGGGATTAGACATCCCGTTACAAGCAGTAAGCAGGGAGCGCAGGAATGAGGGAAGCAGAGAGGGAGGAAGCGAGGACGGGGGTAGAGGGTGGAAGGCAGAGAAACGGAGAGGCTGGCCGGCATATAGCTCCCCGTTACAAGCAGTAGGAGGGAGAAGGAGGAATTACTCCCCTGCCAGTGCAGCTGCCACGTAATACGCACCGCAACTGCTCTCTCGTTATCTCCATGTTAACCGCAAACACATTACACGGTATGCCTCCTGGCAAGTACTGCAGTGCCACTGCAGCCACACGTACGAACGCACCCACGCACATAGGAACCTCCCGAGTTATACATACTTACACTTATATCAGTACTTACACTATATACGGTATACTTCGTATACACATTATATACTTAAAACTATATACTTATAATATATATATATGTACTTTTACTTAATATTATATTACAAGTATATACTTGTATATTATAATTCTTACACATATATTATACTAGTTACATTTATACTAGAGTTACGTAGAAGCTGACATCCGCCACTAGCATATACGTCTCTGTGGTCCCCCTCCATAGGCTAGGCATTAGGAGCATAGGCTGGGTAGATAGTACCTAGTACAACAGCTACTACAGTCACAGCAGTGCATGAACACCAGGTACTAGCACACACGTGGGGGAGATAGGCAGGGATATGGTGACTTTCTGTATAAGCGGACATCATCATAGAAGGCGTATGCAGACGCCGTGGCGCGGGTAGTTCTCGCCTTAGTGACCGTATTCGTACGCCTGAGTCAAGCACACCCACGCCGTCTCTCACTGCTTGCGAGAACACGCTGCGCAATTTCCAGGCCAAATGATTCACGCGTTACTGCGGATTACGTGCCAACACGCGTGCTCGTCAAGTGAAAGAGCTTCAACACTCGCTAGCTGTACCAGTCATCCGATTTAGGGATGTTGGAAAACTGTACAGATGCTGCAGTTCTCTATGTTAGAAGGCTTCACATTGTCTGTTACGTTTCTCCCTCCTCTCTCCACCCTCCTCCTCCAAATTGAGAGGACTTAGCAGACTTCCCTCCCTCCATGGCTCGACGCTTTTAAACATAATCATAGCATGATGATTGCTATCGCGTATGCAAAATAGAATGCAACACCGTCGCACGGGTCTATCTAGTTACTAGGTGAAAACTCAAGTTCTCTTAGAGAGTTCACTCGCTTCGAACTTTCGCGTTGGGTCGGCGCTTTTAACATAGTAATCATAGTATTATATAACTTGCTATCGCGAATAGATAACCACTCATAATAGTAAGATAACCACATCATAATAGTAAGCCACACCATTGCCACGTTGATTTTACTAGCTAGTTAAAAAAATTCGGGCAAAGTTGAAACGGTAGAAAAGTTGCAAGTTTAACGCTTAACAGATTTAAATCGCCTTTGAAGCTCAATTCACGCTGAATCAAAAAACTCATTTAAAACAGTCTATCTACATATCGTGCATGCATGTATTCTCACATTGTCAATTTATTAAAGATGGATCGTTCACTCATGCTTGCCTTAAACTCAATGTATAGCGAACGAATACTCTAAGCAATGCATACAATCTGTAAAATTCCCGCAATTTGAAATCTCTCAATTCACGTGAATCAAAACTCATTAAAACAGTCTATCGCACATATCGCTGCATGCATGTATCTCAGATTGTCAATTATTAAGATGGATCGTTCACTCATGCTTACTTAAACTCAATGTTATGCGAACGAATACTCTAGCAATGCATACAATCAGTCTAAAATTCCCGAATTTGAAATTTCTCAAGAGTGGCAATGTACGTCGGCTAGCGCTACAGTTGTAACCAGTCATTCTTTGGATGTGTTCTTTATTTTTCTAGTTTCGTTAATCTCATCAAGGCCTCAAAAATTCACAGATTAAAAGATTACCCGCCATAGCTGAGGTAGGAGCTTATTTAATTTGACGATAAATTTGTGTGAATGCTCATAATTTAAAGCTGCACGATCAGCACAATCATGAAGCGCCGCGCACACGGTGAACTATCTGCTGAGTCAACGGCCAAGAGGCCGCTGGCTCAGCAGATAGCTGAGCCTGTGCGCGCAGATGCTGCACGATTTTTGGCCTCGCGTGGCTGTGAGACCGATATCTATTCGTGTTTAATATTTGTGGCCACGCGAGGCCAGAAACTCAGGCGTGTGCGGGCTCCGTGAGCTATCAGCTCGGCCACAAATATTTACACCAAGAGAAGCGCAGGAATAGGGCATGTGAATAAAATGTCGGCGCCACTGAACAGCACAGAAACTCTACTTTTTTGTAAGATTCTGTGATTGTGCACGTACACGCGTGCGTGTGCGTGCTGCTGTGTGCCGCGCGTGTGCAGCGTACACGTTCGTTCGTGCGTGCGTGCGTGCGTGTGCACGTACACGTGCGTGCATGAGTGTTCGTGCGTGTGCACGTACCGCGCGGTGCGTCCGTGTTGTGGCACGTACACGTGCGTGCGTGCGTGTGCACGTACACGTGAGTGCATGCGTGCGTGCGTGCGTGTGTACGTACACGTGGCGTGCGTGCGTGCGTTGCGTGTAAAATTACACGTGCGTGCATGCGTGCGTGCGTGCGTCCGTGTGTGTGCACGTACACTTGCGTGCGTGCTTGCGTATGTCGCGCGTGTGCAGGTACACGTGTGTACATGTGTGCGTGCGTGCGTACGTGCGGTGTATGAGCAGGTACACGTTGCGTGCGTGCGTGCATGCATGTTCACACGCACGCACGTGTACGTGCCCACAACGGACGCACGCACGCACGCACGCACACACTCATGACGCACGTGTACGTGCACACGCACGCACGAACGTGTACCTGCACACGCACGCACGCACGCACGCACGCACGTGTACGTGCACACGCACGCAGGCACGCATGCACGACATGTACGTGCAACACGCACGCATGCACGCACGTGTAGCGCGTAACACACGCACGCACGTACGCACGCACGTGTACGCTGCATTACAGAATCTACAGAAAAGTAGAGTTTTCTGCCTGTACAGTGGCGCCGATATTTTAAATCACATGCCCTATTCCTGCCGCTTCATTGGTCGGTAAATATTTGTGGCTGAGCTGATAGCTCGGACCACGAGCCCGCACACGCTGAGTTTCTGGCCCTCGCGTGGCCACAAATATCAACACCAACGAAGATATCGGTCTCACAAAGCCACGCGAGGCCAAAAATCGTGCAGCATCTTGCGCGCACACGCTGAGGCCGTTGGCTCAGCAGATAGTTCACCGTGTGCGGCGGCCTCACACAGCGTAGTCGATCGATGTGTGGTTGTGTCTCTGTCTCTGCTTCTCTTGTTCTCTCTCTCTCTCCTCTCTCTCTCTCTCTCTCTCTTCTTCTCTCTCTCTCTCTCTCTCCTCTCTCTCTCTCTCTCTCTCTCTCTCTCTCTCTCTTCGCTCTCTCTCTCTCTCTCTCTCTTCTCTCTCTCTCTGTCTCTCTCTCTATCCCAGGCAGCTGGGTGGCATGTAAAACACAAAACGCTTTCCCTGAAACACTACACGTCCCATCACGCCCTGACAACGTCCACAGCTGTTTATTCAATTCCATCACGGCCAGGAAAGCTTCAGGCTGCAGCGGTAGGAAGGACTCTACATAGGAAGCCCACCAAGCGTGTGAAAAGGCGAATATAAACGTAGAGCAGGCAGAGAATCAATGGAACGCGATAATTTCATCAAATGGATGTCATCCGGCAGAACGAAAGTGCTTCAGCTAAACGAACACTATCACGACAATGTCTGCAAGTTTAAACAGCCGTGTGATCGATGGTGTGTGTTGGCTGTGTGTGTGTGTGTGGTTGCGTGCTTGTGCGTGGTGGCGTGTGCGAGCTTCGTGCGTGTACGTGCGTGCGCGATACAGCCCGTGGTGGTGCTGCGGTTATGGCGTGCGTGCGTGCAGTGCGTGTGTATGTTGCCGCTGCCATGCTGTGCGGCCTGCGCTCGTGCTGTATCGAGCGTGTCGTAGTGTTGCCGTGCGTTGGCCGTGGTGTGTGCGTTGCATGCTGTGTGCGCGTACGTGCGTGTGTAGCCGCCTTGACATCTACACGCACACGTACACGCACACTGCATGCCGCAGTACTCACCCGGCTGTGTATCTCCTCATCATGGTAGGCTTTGCGCTTGGTCCGCCCGGCCTTGACGTGCTAGAACCTCTACCAGCGGCTTATGGGATACCCTGTACGGAAACGACGGCGAAGAGAATGCTTAGCAGCACGTCACAGTAATAGAGGCACACTCGACGTGAGCAGGTGCGAATATTTAAGCGCTGGCACTCTGCCAGTGCATAACTTGCTGTGTCACTGTCGCGTCCCTGCCGTTTGACATTGCATTGCCATGCCCGAAATTTATGAGAATTACTTGCTAGGCTGTTTAAGTGAAAATACAAATAAGCTGAATACCGATAATTGCCTTTGAAATTTAAAAGGCCGCGTTTTTTAAATACATTCAAACAGCCCAGTACATGCTAAATTCATGTCATCGGGTCATTGTTGCTTAGATATTTGGTGTAGGTTAGATGGTATAATTTTGGCTTGTGCGTTATTATTTTTGATTAGCTTTAAACTTTAAAGAACTTAGAACTTGCGACGGCATTTTGATGCAATGTCATGTTGAAAGACAAAGGTCATTACGTTGGATTATAAAATCAATTTTCTGCTTATCTGGGCCACCTGCTCAAGAGTACTAACTAAACACTTACACTCTCGACTGCCCATGTACAATAAACTGTTTTTATCGCTACCGACTTAACGAACTCGAGACATCACCAGTAAACAGGCAGCCAGCCATTTTTAGTTTCTGTCTGCGACTTTGAAGGTAAGGGTAACCACGCCCTCTACACGGCACGAAAATGTCAAAGCGTTGCATGAAACAACATTGCTTCGCAGTAGTGCGGTTAAACTCGGTGCGACCAATGAGAGGCACATGATGAAAACCAATATCACAATGAATAACAAACATCACAATGAACGACACATCACAATGAATAACAAACATCACAAATGAATAAACAACATCAACCAGATTGAATACAACATCGCAAGGAATAAGCAACATCGCAATGTAAGGACAACATCGCAATGAGAGGACAACATCACAATGAATAACAACATCACAATGAATAACAAGTGCCGGCGATAGCGACAGCGGCCTCAGTCTGAACGTCATACTGCGTAGACTCTGTGCGTGCAGCAGTGGTGGGATTCATAGTAAAACCCTGTTAGTCCAAAAAAATTTTTGTTGTTCACAATACACGCCGAAAACAGTGAAGCACAAAGGGGCATGGCTATCAGCGGAACCTTCTCAAAAGAATGTTGTCGCTTTGGGGATCGTTATGAAATTAGCCACGAGATGGCGCCGTACGTTTAAGTGTCTTCAGCATTTAAAGATGAAGCTCCCGATCATATGTAGTAAGCAACAACTATCTGCAAGACAGACATAGCGTAAGCACTCATCCATTTACCTACGCAAGCCGTACAGCTTGCGCAATAGAGAGCTGCCACCTGCCAACAAGGTAAGGCCAAAAAACTCCACAGTACCACAAACACTGCACTGGGCAGTAGCCAACTGCGCAGTGGCATACGTTAACATGTAACATACTGACCACTACAGAATGCATATAAATTATAGGATTAAGGCAGCATAAACCTTCTTTAACCAAATTTTAGTTTTGAAATTTCACTGTGACATGGTAAGCCTCATACATCCAGGGCATGTATAGATTTGGTCTACTTTAGCGAAACCGGCAGTCAAATTGCTATGTCTAACAGACCAGTCAACAAATCCATGTTTTAACCTCCTCTTGAGGGTCAAAAGTTTCTGACACTTACTCTTCGCAGTCAGCAGAAAGCTCTAGAGTTCATGGTCCTTTCAATAATGTGCCATTAAAAATGCTTAGCGTCACCGCTCGAAACAAAAAAGTTTTTCAATCGCTCCGTCAGACCATGTCCTCAGACAAATGTCTAAAATCTGCCCTGTGCCCATTGACCTTTGACCTTGTCGGCCTCAATTTCGGCACAGTGATGGCTTTCCTTACCATGCATGCTATACCACCGACTATCACGAGCTAGGTCGAGCCGTTATAGATGGTTTGTGCCGCAATTCTGCATTTCCTTCCCTATACCTTAAGTGAAGGAGGTGAATGTTCCCCCTTCTTATTTAACACCTCTTGACCATTTGACCTTTGACCCCCAGCCCTTTCGACATTGCCCAACTCGTCTTTGAGACGATCCCCCAACGACCCAATATCGTTGGGGACCGTACGTCGACGCGGTTAAGCATTTGTGCCCAACTGTGACGGACGACCGGACGACCGGACGACCCGGACACCGGAACGCACGGACGGACGATCAAAGCGATTCTACAAGCTGCCATCTGGACTATGTCAGATGCAGCTAAAAACATTGCTAATGAATGATTTTCCGCCAGATGAATGACAACATTACAATTGAATTAACAACATTGCCCAATGAATAACAACATTGCAATGAATAACAACATTGGCCATATGAATAACAACATCGCAATGAATGACAACATCACAATGAATGACAACATCACAATGAATAACAACATCGCAATGAATGACAGCATCGCAATGAATGACAACATCGCAATGAATGACAACATCACAATGAATCACAACATCACAATGAATAAAAACATTGCAATGAATGACTTCGCAATGAATGACAACATTACAATGAATAACAACATTGCAATGAATAACAACATCACAATGAATGACAACATCGCAATGAATGACAACATCGCAATGAATGACAACATCGCAATGAATCACAACATCACAATGAATAACAACATTGCAATGAATGATTTCGCAATGAATGACAACATCGCAATGAATGACAACATCGCAATGAATAACAACATTGCAATGAATAACAACATCACAATGAATAACAACATCGCAATGAATGACAACATCGCAATGAATAACAACATCACAATGAATAACAACATCGCAATGAATGACAACATCACAATGAATAACAACATCATCACAATGAATAACAACATTGCAATGAATAACAACATCACAATGAATAACAACATCACAATGAATAACAACATCGCAGCGTGCGGTAACCTCAGGTGGGGGGAGGGGGCGAGGCGAGTGAATAATGCAACCCACCTGCACGAATATCGTCGAGAACACGACTGCGAGGGTGGCGGTCGTGAACATGTTCTTCATCGCCCGCGGGATCATGTGTTCGTTGAGCAGGATGACGAGGCAGAAGGCGACGCCGCCACGGATGCCGCCATACGCCATGATGAACTGCTCCACCCAGTTCAGTCGGTTCAGTCGGATCTTGTTGGCGGCAAACGTGAAAATCGCAACGCCTGAAGATATAAGCCGTGTAAGATAGAACAGTTTTATTTATCGCTTTCAATATTAGTAAGTGCAGGAAATTTAACAAAAGTGAATAATAAACAATACAGCGAAGTGGTGACTTCACACTTCATTTGAAGAACACACGCAAGTGCCGCGTCGACGCTACACGCGTAATAACGGAATAACGCAACACACCTTGTCAATGCCACGCGCGCGAGCAACAATAGACAAACATCGCATCGACTGTAACAGTGGCAACACGATGTAAACAAAAACAGATTTCAATCGTTGTACACTTTTGTGTGAAAATAACCGTGTATGAGTGTTTTAAGGGCATGTTAGCCTTACTTTAGACACTGCTGTAATGCGGGCAATAATGGACAAACATCGCATGGAGTCATGGACTGTGAAAGGCCGGCAAAATTACGGATCGATAACGTAATTATGTAAACATCAATCACGACACAGCCGTGTAGAAAACACGCAGAACACAACACGCGCTACACTGCGCAGCACAGGTAGAAAATATAGCGATACACACAACGCACAGATGGGCATAGCGCGCCGTTTAAAGGAATTATTTCTCGAATAAATTGAAATGCAGATTGGTTCGCATGCTGAAAAGAATGATCTGCGAGCGTTCTATGATATGTTAACCTTACTGTATACACTTGTTGTTATGCACGGAGTACCGGTAACTATCAGAACGGTCGGGAAAACATGGAAACGGTTGGTAAAAACATGAGCAATCCTCCCTTTCTATCTCGCGAGGCTACGCTATTCCCCTTTCTAGTAGTACGCGTGGATCGAGGCTTACTCATGAAGCGATAGACGAGGCAGAATCCCACGGTGGCAAACACGAACACCGTGTCCCAGTGGTGGTCGTCGGTGACTGTCGACAGTCCGAGGAACATGAAGATGATTGTCTCCGCGCACGAGCTGAGCATCTTTAGCCAGTACTTGACGGTCGTGTGAGACTTCTGCGATATGTTTGCCTCGACGTACTGCCGCATGGTGATACCACAGAACGTAGCCCTGCCGCGAGATATATATATATATATAGAAATAGTATAGAAAGAGTGAGAGAGAGAGAGAGAGAGAGAGAGAGAGAGAGAGAGAAGAAGAGAGAGAGAGAGAGAGAGAGAGAGAGAGAGAGAGAGAGAGAGAGAGAGAGAGAGAGAGAGAGAAG